TAAAAAAAAAAAAAAAGAAAGAAAGTAGAACAATTCTGGGGGCGTCTGGCTGGCTCAGTCCATAGAGCATGCAACTCTTAATCTAGGGGTCGTGAGTTCAAGCCCCACATTGCATGTAGAGATTACTTAAAAAAATAAAAATAAAAAACAAAAACAAAAAAACCCCAACAAACAAAATAGAACAATACTGAAAATTTAAAACTTCTGCTCTGTGAAAGACACTGTTAAGAAAGTGAAAAGACAAGAGGTGCCTGGGTGGCTCAGTCAGTTAAGCAGCTGCCTTCGGCTCAGGCCATGATCCCAGGGTCCTGGGATGGAGCCCACATCAGGCTCTCTGCTCAGCAGGAATCCTGCTTCTCCCTCTCCCACTCCCCCTACTTGTGTTCCCTCTCTTGTTGTCTCCCTCTCTCTGTCAAATGAATAAATAAAATCTTTAAAAAAAAAAAAGAGCAATAAAATAAAAAATTTCTAACCAGGCCAACAAAGAAAAAAGAGACAAGACATAAATTACTAATATCAAAAATGAAAAAGGGGACAACTACATATCTCAAGGACTTGAAAAAGATAATGAAGGGGTACTATGAACAACTCTATGTCCACAAATTTGACAATTTAGATGGAAGGGATCAATTCCTTGAAAGACACAATCTGCCAAAACTCATAAGAAGAAATCAACTGAATAGGAAAGAAATAAAGAAATTAAATCAACACTTAACAACTTTACAAAACAGAAAGCACCAGGCTCAGATGTGTTCACTGGTGATTTCTACAAAACATTTAAAGAAGAAGATATACCATATTGTAGCATTGTTCAAAATAGAAAAAAATTAGATATATAAAATTCCGCTCAAAGAAAGGACTGGTTAAAGAAGTGGTAGCAGGGGTGTTTGCAAAGTTTGATTTTTTTGACCTGGGTGGTGGTTACACAGGATTCATTGCATAATAATTATTTTTTTAAGTTTTATTTATTTTAGTAACCCCTAACCCAATGTGGGGCTCAAACTCCTGACTGCAAGATCAAGTCGCACGCTCCCCCAACTGAGCCAACCAGGTTCCCCTCACTGGATAGTTATTTATTTATTTATGTATTTATTTATTTATTTTAGAAGATTTTATTTATTTGACAGAGAGAGACACAGCGAGAGGGAACACAAACGGGGAGTGGGAGAGGGAGAGGCAGGCTTCCCACAGAGCAGGGAGCCCGATGTGGGGCTCGATACCAGGACCCTGGGCTCATGACCCGAGCTGAAGGCAGACGCTTAACGACTGAGCCACCCAGGCGCCCCTGGATAGTTATTTATTAAGTTATATCTTTGTTCTATGTACTTTCTGTATATATAATATATTTCACAATAAAAGTAGCTAAAATTAATAACATCTATGTTTAGGAATACTATGAAATACTATACAATCAATAAGAGTATAGGGTAAACAAAACAAAAAAAGAAGAAGATATACCAATTTTCTACAATCTCTTCCAGAAAATAGAAGATAAAGGAAAACTTCCTAACTCATTAACCCCATACCAAAACCAAAGACACTGCATAATTACAGACCTCTTTCTCATGGACCTAGGTGCAAAAATCCTCAACAGAATATTAGGATTAGATTAGATTGGACTAAAATAGAATAGATTGGATTAGAAATCTAATCCAACAAAATTCCTCTCTAAAGATCATTAATACTATCCATTTCAGATTAAGGATTAGAGAATGGATATTAAATACGAGACACATATATGTTTTTATCTATATTCTGGGTGCTTTAATAGCACTGTAATCCTATTTCTCCAGAGATGATTACATTAAAAGTTACAGTTAATCCCATGTGAGTTAACCCATTCAACCTGTATGGACCAGGTTTAGTTACGTTTTTTCTCTTCCTTTTTTTCATTCCTCAGCACAACATACTAGGTAACTTCTTTGTTTGATGGGTGAGTGAACTGAGATTTGTTTAGACAATTCAGAGATCCTAATCAAAGTAGGGGCACTCCTAGCTGGCTTACATCACTGAAATATTATGTCCAGCCACAGAGCCACCGTGCAATGATGGGAGTTCTTTAAGCATTTATTAAATTTATTTCATTAGCTCGAATACTACAGCAAACATTCAGGTCAAGTGTTGTGTGAAGCATTGAAGCAACATTTTTCAGCCCAGGGATTTTTTAAGCTGTGGGTCATTTTATTTTGTGGATTACAACCAATATTTTTAAAAATGAATGTAGGTTTGGGCGCCTGGATGGCTCAGTTGGTTAAGCGACTGCCTTCGGCTCAGGTCATGATCCTGGAGTCACTGAATCGAGGCCCGCATCGGGCTCCCTGCTCAGCGGGGAGTCTGCTTCTCCCTCTGACCCTCCCTCCTCTCATGTGCTCTCTCTTAAATAAATAAAATCTTAAAAAAAAATGAATGTAGGTTTAAGTATATCAAGTGCTGCTCTAATTGCAATAGTAAATGCAGTTTTGTCAACCTTCTGTTTCAAATTTTTTATGTATGTACTGGGTCATGTTGTAAAAGGGACTGATGTTTATGAGTCACTGAGATGGGGGGTATTTGGGGTGGGAGTTCAGTAGGAAGCACAAAGAGACCGGGGAGTCCAACACCTAAAAAAGAACTTAAAGCCGGCGCATTGACTCGTTCAAGGAGCGCTCACACGGTAAAGAGAGTGGATTGGTCAAACCGTAAAGGTCCCGCCCACAACGCCTCATCCACCAATGGATGTGCGGCCAGGGCGGGGCGGGGAAGGGGCGGGACGAGCCTCGCGCGGGCTCCTTAAGTAGCGGCTGCGTGGATGCCCTAGTAGAAGATTCTACGACGGCACCGTGGGGTGGTGCAGAGCCAGACGGGAGCGACGTCGGACGCGCCGGATCTTCCTCACGGAACCATGTCGAAGCAAGAAGGAGGCGCCAACGCCTCCTCATGGGTCGTTGCTTCCCGGCGAAACTCGGCGGTGTCCCGTGCTCCGGAAAGGAGGCCGACGGAGGACCCGAATCGAAGAGGTCAGGAGGCCGGTAGGGGCAGCAGAGGTGGCGGCTGGAGGAACCCCTCCGGCCTCCAGCAACCTGTGGCCGCTGGCCTCCGAGAACCGCCGCTTTGCTTTGGATTGAATAACGTGTGGGTCGGCGCTGTGATCGGTGAGTGAAAGAGGATGGGTGTGCTGGTCAGGGTCGGGGCGGAGAATGGGTGGGGCCAGGGGCGGGGCCTGGGCAAGGGCATCCCCGCCCCACTCTCCTCGCCTCCAATCCGCTGCCACCTAATGAGATTCAGGACTTTACCTGTGATATTCGTAACACCTTCTGATGCCATAATTAGTCACTTAACACACCTTTTGCTATTTCGTGGAGACGATATTTTGGGAGAACAAACTTCGATTTAGGAAATCTTTGTGATGAAAGGTCAGATCTTTTCACAGCTTACCCCAAATGAACAACAAAGCAGTGCTGAGTACAATCTGTGTCTTTGAGCACCATTTAGAGCCATTAAAGAAGGTGTAGGATATTATAGGGTTGTTCAGAGCATTGACCATATCTTGCACTTAGTTTCTTTTATTGAATATAATTTTATCTGCTGAAAAACAGGATCTTTTTCTTAGTACATCTTGAGTCTTACAAATTCATTTTTGAAAAACATTTAGAAACCATAGGAATAGAGATTTGCCCCATTTGTGGCCATTTAAACTGAGGATAAATTCCAACATTTTACCTATTAGGGATGGGAGCTAAAATTTTGTTTACCCCTTTTTTAAACCTATTTTGAAAAACGATGACCACGTTTTTTTAGGCAGCTATTAAATAGAACATTAGCAGACTAATTGCTAGACCAGCTAGAGATTCACTGTTCCCTCAAGAAGGCTCAGGCTCAAAGATCTGAAGAGTGATGCTGCATAAGTGAAAGCCACTAGGTTTGCTCTAAAAACCACACTCTCAACACTTAATTCAGCACCTGTGACAGTGCAGGCCCTGTGCTAGAGAGCACCCACTTAATGTTGGTCTGGAACCACTTTTCTTCCTTAGTGTGGTAAAAAAAAATAAAAATTTAAGCATTATTAATTTTAGGTGTGCAGTGTGAGTACAGTACTGTTAACTATAAGAACAATGTTGTGTGACAGATCTCTAGAATGTTTTCATTTTGCATGACTGAAACTACCCGTTAAACAACTCCCCATTTCCCCCTTTCCCCATGCCTGGCAAATAGCATTCTACTTTGTTTCTATGTTTGATTACATTAGACCCTCAAAGAAGGTCATGCCCTATTTGCTTTTTGTGAGTGGCTTATTTCATTTAGCCTAACGTCCTCAAGGTTCGTTCATGTTGCAAATGATAGAATTTCCTTTTTAAGGCTGAAATCTTCTCTAGCATATTTATACCATGTGTCTTGGTCCAGTCATCTGTTGGTAGACATTTAGGTTGGTTCCACCTCATGACTATTGTGAATAATGCTGTAATGAACGTGGGAGTATAGATGGCTCTTTGAGATAGTGGTTTTGTTTCCTTTGGATATATATCCATAAGCGGAATTGCTAAATCATATGGTAGTTGTATTTTTAGTGTTTTGGGGAACCTCCGTGCCTGCACCAATTTACATACCCACCAAGAGTGTACAAGGCTTCCCTTTTCTTCACATTCTCACCAACACTTATTTCATATATTTTTTTAAGATTATTCATCTATTTGAGAGTGAGAGCAGAGTGAGAGAGTGTGTATGGGGGGGAGGGGCAGAGGGAGAAGCAGACTCCCCACTGAGTGGGGAGCCAGACAAAGGGGGGCTCGATCCCAGGACCCTGAGATCATGACCTAAGCCTGAAGGCAGGCACTTAACTGACTGAGCCACCCAGGTGCCCCGCCCCTCTTTGTATTTTCCGATAGCCATTCTACTAAGTATGAAGCAATACCCAGTTGTGATTTTGATTACAACTTTTAAAATTTTTTTATTTTTAAAAATAGGTCGTGGAGGGTCAAAAATAAAAGACATCCAAATTACAACAAACACGAAAATACAGGTAAGTGGTCTGCGATCTTAAATCCTCAAAGAGCATAGTTCATTTCTAACTCTAATTTCTGTTTAGCTGTTAACATACTGTGGTAATTTAGAGAAGTCACCAAAGCTCTTCAGACTGCTATTTTCCAGGAATGGTTACATGCTGTGGTCCATTCCAGGTCTAGGTTTTGTGACTCCTGGAGGTAAAAATCTTTATAGAGATAATCTCCACTGACAAATGAGATCTTTGGGGGAATATTCATCGTGCGCTTCCCGACTCTCATCCCTCAAACCTTAACCTGCTCCTGTGTTCCCAAGTCTCAGCAGCAACATCATTCACCCAGTACCCAAGCCAGAAGTCTCAGATTACTTCTTCTCCTGCAACCAGTCCGTCACTGAGTCCTTTCTATTTCCTGTATTTCTTAAGGAGAATCACATCATTTGGGAGTGTTCTCCCCTAACTGTCCACTCTGCTTCCAGTCTTACCCCCTCTAACCATTCTGTATTATGACCAGGGCAATAGTTCTAAAACACAAATTTTGTTCATAATTTGTTTTCTTTTCCTGCATAAAAATCTTTCATAATATCTCAGGCTCTTAAGAAGTTCAGACTTCTTAGCATGGTCCACTTGATCTGGCTCCTTTTCCTTCACTCCCTCCCCGAACTCCTCTTTAATGTCAGCAGCTGGACTCCTGCCACACTCCCTCTTATTTTAGCTGATAGAACTCTTGTTCATAAGGGAGGTCTAAGACCTTCTGCATCCCCATTCTATGTAGGTTTCTCTTTTCCATATTCTCAGCATCTGTTCCAGCCTCATTTAAGAACTTCTACAGAGTTGTCTGTAAACAGTGCAAATGGCAAGCTTTGAATCACCAGCCCAAGACAGCACTTGGTGTAGCAGTTTCTAGTTTTTATTGAATCAATGTGGGTATCTGAGATTATGTACATTGAAAGATGTGACTTGTAGATTCTGTCCTCCAAATGTCGTCTCAGCCTTGTAAGTTGCTTCCATTACCATATACATGGTGGAAGTAGAGCATCCCCTCAAGTTAAAAGTTCATGTAAGTAACCTGACAGCGCAATCAGCCGTTATTTATATAGCACATAGATTAAGCCCTACAGTTGTGTAAGATTTGCCAAAGTACTGTTTTACAGTTAAGAGGTCAGATTAATGCCTTGATCTTCTAAAACTAGTTGCTGAATTTATTCCCTAGTGGTCGCGGTAGTTTTTATTTTTATTTTTTTAATTTTTTTAAGATTTTGAGAAAGTGAGGGAAAGGGTGAGGGAGAGTCTGAAGCCGACTCCACACTGAGCACAGAGCCTGGCGTGGGGCTCAATCCCACAACGGTGACATCATGACCTGAGCTGAAACTGAGAGTTGGGACGTTTAACTGACGGAGCCACCCAGGCGCCCCTGTCATGGTAGTTTTTAAATGTAGATTGTCCTGCTCCTTTTCATCCAACCAGGGGGTGAATCTCAGGATAAATTTGTTGAATGTAGAATGCCCTCAAAAATTAGAACTTAAGACACTGATTGATAGCAATACTATATTTACTTTAAATTTTTATAGTGTTTGAAGTTGAGTGATTTTTGGAGGGGGGGCATGGTAAGGGGACTTCAGTCTCACCTATTTTTCCCCTGCATCTAGATAATAAAAGGTCACTCAGAAGAAGCGGAGGTCAGAATCTTTGGCAACAAGGTGATGCAGGCGAAGGCCAAAACAGTGATAGATAATCTTGTTAAAAAACAAGAAAATTACAATTCAAAACTCAGAACTGGTAAGTAATTTTTGCTTACTACAGCAATTTGAAAAATTGCATTCAGTGTTATAAGGCATTATAGTTGATGCTTTTCCTGACAACAGAGCTTCAGATTGCTATCATTAAGTCTTGTCTGTTAGGGATTTTTTTTCTTTGAAATCCCAAAATACTGTTTCCTCAAATTAAAAATGCTTAATTTCTGTGATTAAGCCTAGCAGTTTCACTTTTAGCCACAGATAGGTGAAAAAAAAAAAAACTTTTAATACACTCACTATTAATGATAGAAGGATAAGTCCTGGCCTTCTGATTTTATGGTCTTCTCCCCTGGAATGTGACTGACTTTGAAAACTGTCTAATTATTTGGTATTTAAATAATCTCTGGGGTACCTGGCTTGCTCAGTCAGAGCATGAGATTCTTGATCTTCCCCAGGTCATGAGTTCAAGCCCCAGGCTGGGCATAATTTACTTTTTAAAAATCTCAGATTTAGGGGCACCTGCGTGGCTCAGTTGTTAAGCATCTGCCTTTGGCTCAGGTCATGATCCCAGGGTCCTGGGATTGAGCCCCGTGTCGGGCTTCCTGCTCCGCGGAGAGCCTGCTTCCCTCTCTCCCACTCCCCCTGCTTGTGTTTCCTCTCTCGCTGTGTCTCTCTCTGTCAGATAAATAAAATCTTTAAAAAATAAAATAAATAAACCTACCCTTTAAAAAAATCTCAGTTTTAATTAAAACAACAAACCCAAAACTCAGACCTGCTTGGACTAGAGAAAAAGCCATTATTGAGACATTTCCAGAAGCAATGTGGAAGTAAAAACAGCATGTGGGTTCAGATGGCAGCATTATCTCTTAGTGTTTCTTGGGAAAGGAACTCTAGGAAGCCTTTAAGACTCTTCATCTGTTAACCTGGGGTGACATCTGCCTCACAGGATTATTGTAAAGGTTAACATGTGATTTATTAGCAAACACTAGGCTCATTATTTTCCTTCTCTTCAATAAATGTATTTTCCGTCTCCTAAATCTGGTAACTGACAAACCATGACTAGTATTGTCATAGCATTGTAGTACTAAAACCCACATTTTCTATTTTAAGCATTATTGTCTCTTAAACACAAAAGAATAAAGTGGTTTGGGGGAAATTTGTACAATTAGGATTTGTTTTGAAACTAATTCTGAAAAAATATTTTAACAGATATTATTGCATTCCAACCTTCTGTTGGAAGAGATGTAAAGACAGATAATAATGTTACAGAGAATCAGCCATTGATTGATTGGGATCAAATTCGAGAAGATGCTTTGAAATGGGGGAAAAAAAAGTGGGAAGGTTAGTGCTATATTCTAACATTTACATGTGGTATTGATGTACCTCTTGAGGTGTCTTTTAACCTCTTGAGTTTTTTATTCTTTAAAATGTTGTCTTATTTCTAGTAATGAAATCGATTAGAAAAATGATAGTAAAATATGTGCTGCAATTAGTCTCTAGGGCAAGATTTGTTTCTATGTTGTCTGCTGTAATCTATGCTATAAGTGGGAAATTAAAATATTATACTTATATTTTGTCTTATTTGAGGTAACTCACAGCAGGAGTTTAATAAAATTGAAAGAAAATCGAGCATAAGGGGAAAACGAAGACAATAAACATGCCAACCATAAGTGGTTTAACATTATTGGCTATGGTTGAGCAAAAATTGATCCTGGAGTGTCCTGGCTGATAGGGGCAAAATAAAAAGGGAAAACCATTTAATAAGAAAGAAATATGTAGTTGAGAAGAGCGGGGTTTTTTCATTTGCTTTAATTTTAAATGAGAGTCTCACCTGGAATTATTGCGGAGTGTAATGTTTCATGTCACATTCACTAATTTTCAGGGTAAATTCAGGTGCTAATTCTGGCTATCAAAGTGAGGCAGCAATACATTTATTAAAACAGTGACAGATATTAACAATGATTAATTCAGTGGTCATTCTATCTGCATGTTGTTACCAGCCACCTTGACAATACATGTAGTGGGGAGATTTGGAATGGGGGGCCAGAAAAAGGATTTAAGTTTGGAGGAAGTATGCTAGGCATGTAAGAAAACAAAGTAGTCTCAGGAAGTGGAATAAGAAATATTCTATTCCTAAACAGAAATGGGATGGACCTTCAAAGAAAAGAAAAAATCAGTCTACCGTGTTTGAGAGATTCATCAGTTGGGATGATTGTAAAGCATACTTTTCTTTTATATTAAACTTAAATTATTGGGCACCTGGGTGGCTCAGATGGTTAAGCGTCTGCCTTCGGCTCAGGTCATGATCCCAGGGTCCTGGGGTCGAGCCCCGCATCGGGCTCCCTGCTCCTTGGGAGCCTGCTTCTCCCTCTGCTTCTCTCTCTCTCTCTCTCTGTCTCTCATGAATAAATAAATAAAATCTTTAAAAAAAAACTTAAATTATTAAGGGTCTCTTTCTTGGGTAAAAAATGTACTCAAAAGGCAAACCAAAACAGGAGATCTCTTAGAGACTAGCATAAGCCTGACTGGCAAAGAACAACTATCTAAAACTGTAAGGTGAATTTAATAAATACTTTAGTTTGATTTCTGTTACTTTGAATAAGTTTCAATGAAATGTAAATTCTGATAATTTATCAAAGTTTTAATTTTCATCTTTGTCCCAGATTTACCACCAATTAAGAAAAACCTTTACGTGGAGTCAGAAGCAACAAGTTCAATGTCACAAGTGCAAGTAGACATTTGGAGGTGGGTAGTTTTATTGCTTTAAGTATTTGTATAGTTGTTACTCATTAGGGAAACATTCAAAGTGATTGCATTTGAAGACTACACCTCTGGTATTCACATGAACTTGGTTGCATCCTACATGATATTTTAGAGCATTGCTATCCAATAGGCCTTTCTGCAAAGATGGAAAAAGGGCAATATTTGTGTCTAATAGAGTAGTCACTATCTATATATAGCTATTGAATACTCAAAATACGGCTAGTATAATTGAGGAACTAAGTTTCCCATTTAAAATTTAAAAAAATAAAATAAAATTTTAAGACTCATGTGGTTAGTGCCTACTGTATTGGACAGCACTTTTAGAATTCTACAACTGTTGAAAATCATAAGTTGATTTGATGCATTTTTTATTCTTCAGTGCTTACTATCTGGAATTAAAGGTCCTAACAGCAACATTTTTTTTTCTATTGAAGTCAGTTATAAAACTAAGTATGGTAAAAAAAAAAAAGTATGGTATAGCAGAAAGAACAGTTATGCTAGGGTTGGGGTAGGGCTCAGACTTTGGATAAGCAACTAATGATCACCTGTCATATGAGAATAATTCCCATTTGGCAGGATTGTTGAGGATAAGTTAAGAAAATATGTGTGGAACATTGTAGAGCTTTGTGTCAGCCAAGTCTGATTTGAATCATGAAGTGTGATTTTCAGGCTCCATTCTTCACATTTCCATGAAATTTCATTGGCCCATTCATACAATGTAACTTTTTCCCTTTCTGATAACTATTCTGATAAAAAAAAAAAAAGATGGGCTCACTTCTATTTCTTTGTTACTACATTTTACTGTAGATTTACAGTTACAGTTGTAGTTGGATTTCTTGATATGATGAATTAATGCTGGCAAAAATTTCTGGCTTAGGGAATAAAGTGACCAAAGCCCCTAAGATTTGTTCTATTTTTCCTTAAAGGAAAGAAAATTATAATATAATGTGTGATGACTTGAAAGAAGGGGAGAAGCGTCGTATACCCAATCCTACTTGTAAATTTGAGGATGCTTTTCAGTGTTATCCTGAGGTTATGGAAAACATTAAAAAGGCAGGCTTTCAAAAGCCAACACCGATCCAGGTATGCTTGTTTGCTTTCTTGCTTTTTTTTTTCTTTAATTCCAATATTTTACTGACAGTTTTTCTCCCCAAACAGTATCTGATTTTTTTAAAAGATTTTATTGAGAGAGTACAAGTGTGGGGGTTTGGGGGTGGGGAGGGCAGAGGGAGAAGTGGGAAGCCCACCATGGGGGCTGCATCCCAGGACCCCAGGATCATGACCCGAGCCCAAGTCAGACCCTTCACTGAGCCATGCAGGCGCCACAAGATCTGATTATTAGAAGTTAAATCACCAGGGAGGAACTCTCCCTTGTGAGCACTCCCCTAGAGGCCCCCCCCCCCCCCCGTTCCACCAGTGCCTAGCACTCAAAATGTGTTTGTTGAAAGAAGTTTGGGCTTAGGAGAGGAGGGGGCGTTTGACTAAAAGATGCAGCTTTTAATTTTAATGTTAATCTTTTCTTTTTTTAGTCGCAGTCATGGCCGATAGTTTTACAAGGTGTAGATCTTATAGGAGTAGCCCAAACTGGAACCGGGAAAACACTGTCCTACTTAATGCCCGGATTTATACACTTGGATTCACAGCCTGTGTAAGAATTTCTACAGCTGGGTTCTCTTTATAGGGGGTTAACAGATATGGATACCAAAAATGCAAATTTCTTTTTTTTTTGGTCTGTTGCATTGGTCAAAAAATAATGCCAAGCCTCAGGGAAATGCACTTGTACCATGCTGGTGAGAGTATAAATTGTCAAAGCATTTTTAGGAAGCAATAGGTAGTCTTTTTTAAAGATTTTATTTATTTGACAGAGAGAGACACAGTGAGAGAGAACACAAGCAGGGGGAGTGGCAGAGGGAGAAGCAGGCTTCCCGCGGAGCAGGGAGCCCGATATGGGGCTCGATCCCAGGACCCTGGGACCATGACCTGAGCCGAAGGCTAAGCCGACAGCCCCCCAGGCACCCCACAATAGATAGCCTTAATAGTGAATACTGGAAATGTTTGAATTATCACGTCCATTACAATTGTGTGAGAGAATGTTGGCCGTGTTAAATGAAAAGGCTGGTATCGGCCCTTGGGATTTTTTTGTGTGCAACGCTCTTCAGTATTTTTCTGTGTTTTGTGGTGAATGCATGTGACTTTTCACATTCATTCCTACAAATTTTGAAAGCACTGAATGAATATGCTATGTATCTGAGTCAGGTACTTTAATATTTTCTCTCTAAAGAATTAGAGGAAAAAGGAGTGGACCCGGCATGTTAGTCCTCACACCTACACGCGAGTTAGCACTTCAAGTGGAAGCTGAATGTTCCAAGTATTCATATAAAG